ATGTATGTATTAACTTTTAAACCATTTACAAATGTATTTATATCTATTTTTAAATTTTATAGTTACTGCTATGTAACTATGTAATCATTAAACAGCACTAATAAATCTATTTGAATATATTTTATATACAGTATAAGATCAAAATGACAACTGTTCTTTTAATTTCTTGTCTCACAATATTACTGCTGACCAAAGACACTGTTAAAGTCTGTTGACAGTGTTTATTTTGATGTCACAGAAAAGCCTGACATTTAACTCAATAATGCATTTTTTTATTGATATTAATGAAAGCTATGTGTCATCATTATAGGTCTAGCGCTGCAAACAGAAGCAAGACCCGTTTACAAGGTTTGTCCAGCTGAATATAGTTCTCTCTCTAAAGGTGGCGGGTTTGTTCTATCACCAAATCTATCATTGGCTTCTGAGTTTCCTTCTTTTATCTGTTGCTTTGTGAACTTTTGATCGTTGCAAACATGTAATTTTCACACTGAATTGGTACATTTTCAAAACTTTTAGTACTTTTAGCTCTTTTTTTCAAATAATTTACAGTAGCTTAGTTTTAACTGTGTTATAGGGTGCAGGCAGAAGTATGCAAAATGACTTCTAATTTTGCAGGGACCTGGGTCAAGCGCTTCCGGTGAACTGTATGTAGTTACAAAATCAGCTCTTTTAAGGTCTTTTTTCTTTAAAAATCAACAGTCTCAACTGTCTGATTGAAATATGATATAAAGTGGGTCTCAGACCAGACAAGATGCAACTCATTAAACAAAAATTTCCCCGCCAGGCCTTTAAAATATGAACGTTCATTTTACTCCAGTATTTTCAATGGAGTTTCTGCGCTCGCCTGCTGATCCTGACATGCGCGCGCATGTAAACGGCTTTTCATATTGTTTTACGCTTTAACAACAAAACAAATGCTGATTGTATTTTAATAACAACATTGATGCTATAAAAGGAACCATATACAGTTGAAAAAAGTCACATTAACCGGTTACCAGAAGTTTACTGGCATAGAAAGAAACACTAGTCGTGCATATACCCTATTACCATAAGCCTAATCACATGATATCCTTGTCACTACAAAATGAGTGTTTTAAATGTTTGATTCACATTAACGTCCTTTACTGATTGCTATCAAATCAACTATGCATCTCTTGTTATTCAGTTTAGTTGCTACAGTATGTTTTTTTTTTGCTTTGTGTGTGTGTGTGTGTGTGTGTGTGTGTGTGTGTGTGTTTGTGTGTGTGTGTGTGTGTGTGTAAATGACTCGATCTGTCTTTTGATCAAATTTGCATGCTTTATAAAGCTGTAAAGTGCTATAACTGCTATAAAATGCTGTAAAGGCTTTTGTCAGTTTGTCTGAATATAAGTGTAATATTTGCTGTGTTTACAGTAATATTCATTAACAGGCCCGTGCAGAGACTGTCCAAAGGGCATGTGCAGGTTAAAGTGGTTAAAGTGAGGGGGGGGTTGTAGTTGTTGTTGTCGCGCGTTCTCATCAGCGGTGTTGATGCGCGAGTACTGTAAAGCGGGGGGGTGGGGGGGGGCATGTGCACTGCACAGGTTGAGCCCTATGTGTGCACGTGCCTGTTCATTAATCATTAAGGGCGATTAGAAAGCTGTTCTTTGTATCATTTGCTACTGTTTGAACTGTTTGTTATGCTGTGTTCACACCAGACGCGGTACGTGTGAATAAATCACGCTATTCGTGCGTAAATAGCCGCGTGAACATTTGAGTTTACTTGCTTCATTCGCACGTCAACCCCGCTTCATTCGTGCATCAGATCCGCTTAAATCGCGTGTCAAATTCACTTCAAATTCACGCGGATTCGCGTGATGGGCAGGGCTTCTGTCTGCCCGGTGACTCTAGCTTCATAGCTAAATGGCTAACATGGATTTTATTAAGAAAATAACAGTGTTAATGTGCTTAATGGAGACTGAAAAACAGCGTTGATACGTTTAGGGTCCTGTCTGAGTCCACTGCATCCTTTCAGAGGTGCATCCAGCTCTGTGAGCTCATAAACTCTCCTCTAGAAAACTGAACCTGTATGACGGAGGCTTTCAGAGGTGCCTCTGACTGAGCCAAGCCCACTTTGATGACTTGTTGTCGGTGTCGCCTGGAGGATTTCCCCCGGGACACCATCAACAGGTTCTACGTCACAATCACGCCCCCACAAGAGCAAGCTTCGGATTGGTTAACGGGGCGCGGATGTCCGCTGAAGTTCAGATTTTCGAACTTGAGAGATTTGCGCGAAACGCTCGTTAAGTGCGTCAAATGCACAAATGCTCAATTCGCCTCGCGCGTATCGCGCTATTCGCAACGCGCCATTCACGCAATTCGCGTCATTCGCTCCACGCCATTCACGCGTATCACACCGCAGGATGTGTATTTGCGCGTTTGCATTGACTTAACATGTAAAACACTCGCGCTTGACGCGCGTTCCGCATCTGGTGTGAACGCAGCATTACAAGCACTAGGTTAAAACACTTAGTGGTACGGTACAGTTCGGTTTGGTACGCTTTTTATGGCCGTTTCCACTAACAAATGGTACCTAACAGCGAATCGTACCGTACCACTTTTTGGGTACCTTTTTCAAAGGGTACCTAGCACAACAATAGGGTACAAAAAAGCAGAGCAAGACGCGCAGCTGAGCGCTTTGGTTTACAGAGATACGGCACAGCATACACAAGCAGGAGAATGAAAACAAAGGAAGCGGCATTTTTAAATACAAAGTCGAGACATTACACCGTAATATTCTATGAATATATTAACGAGCCATGGTTGACCCAAGCTCAAACTAACCTTGTCATTGTCTTGATGTACAGCCACAAAGCCAAGAAGAACAAAATCTTCCGTGTCCTGTTGTTGTTTTATGAGGCCGTCTAAAAGTGCGAGCGGTTTCACTTTCTCCAGGCAGCTCGCGATCGCTCATGTGCACGTCTATCTTTAAAAAAACGAGCTTCTTAAGCTGATGATAATAACATGCGCATGATTATTGAAGCGCTTCTGACATCCGATCCTTTCAGAAACGGACAAACGTGAGATTGAAGCTCGAAAAAACAAAGGAAAAGCCAAAAAACAAAAGAGCAAATGATTCCTTCAGCAACCTAAAAGATGAACAAAATGCCATGTTTATCATTGCCTTCTGGACTTCTCCATACCATAACTCTCTCCCAGATGTGGGAAAGACAGTGAAGGTAGACTCATCAGAGAACAATACAATTCAAGATTTTCGCTGCTGGTACCATTGATGCAGATGTTCGGCATTGACATGAGTGACCAAAGGTTTAGCTATAGCAGCCCAGCCATGTATATTGACCCTGTGGAGCTCCTGACAAACAGTTTTGGTGGAAACAGGAGAATTAAGGTGCACATTGAATTCTGCAGTGAGAGTTGGGCAGCTGTGGTTTTGTTTTTTGGATACAATCCTGGTCAGCACCCGGACATTCCTTTCAGACAGCTTCCACTTGCATCCACAGTTACTCCTATTGGATGTGGTTCATCCATCTTGGTGGTATGCTGACATTACTTTGGACACAGTGGCTCTTAATACATTAGAAAGACTTGCTGTCTTGGTCGCAGATGCGCCAGCGAGACGCGCACCAACAATTTGTCCTCTTTTGAATATGTCACCCAAAATGTTGTGTGCATTACAATATTTTAAGAAGAGATTATGAAGTGTGTATGAATGATATTTCAAGAAGAAAATCTGATATATGAGAATTTGATACTCATACTGGTGGAATGTGCAATCAATGAAGATTGACTACAAGGCTGGTCAAATTTAGACATGACACCTCCAACGCTAAATTGGCCAGTGTTTAAGTTTCATTCTCCAATCCCTGTATATTGTTTTATTAAAATTATCAATCAAATTCAAAGAGAGTTTTTCTTAACCACCCATAATGCGAGGCGATTTCCTCTTATTTAGTAAATTCCAAATCAAGTGTATATAATGAGTGTATGTGATCTGAAATGTCTCCAGGTGTCTCTAAGGGTCCAGAAGGGGCGTCTCTCAGTGCTGGATGTCCAGTTCGGAGAACAGGTGGACGGACAAAATGAGAAAGAACTAAGCATCTCGTCTAGCAGCCTAAAACAGCTGAACGAGCTCCTTAGCAGACTGACCTACACCAGCACCGTCTACCACATCAAAACACAAGACCTCGGTATGGAACATTTCACATATAGAAGCATTTTTACCAATAAACCTGTTTGATGGAACACACAATTGGGATGTTTTAAAGAATGTGAAGTGTATATTTGACTAAATAATTTGGACTTTAAAACGACTAGAAATTCAAAGTAAAAAAGGCTTCACATGGTCACACCAAACAAACAAAAACTGACTGAAATGAGAATGTACATCATAGGTGTCAAAGTCAATTCCTGGAGGGCCGCAGCTCTGCACAGTTTTGCTCCAACCCTGATCAAACAAAACTGATCCAACTAATCAAGGTGTTCAATACTCTTTTGAACACCTTGACTATTTGGATCAGCTGTGTTTGATTAAGGTTGGAACAAAACTGTGCAGAGCTGCGGCCCTCCAGAAATTGACTTTGACACCTATGATGTACGTTTTGCATCTGCATGAAGAGGATCCACCTTATCCCTCCATACTTACAGGGGGCAGTATAGTATAGTCGTTCCAAAAAGCAACTAGTGCTGCACACATACAGAACGTAAACAAAACAGTGTTTTTAGTATGTCTTGCTGACCACAGAGGGATTCACTCATGTAAATATGATAATCAAATATTTAAGAAATGCAACAAAATGTCAGCCGGCTTATTTGTGTTCGTCTGTTTAGTTTCGTCACTTCGGTTTTCGCACTTGTTTAGTTGCTGAACAGCCAATCAGAACTCTCTCTTTCATGGTAGGCGATGCCAATTCTACTACTATGTGTTTTGTCCTATTTTAAAGTCATTCATACTGGACGAATTTTGCAAAGGGGCGAAAAATATCTGATTTATGATGATTATTTTATCTTTATTTTTGCAAAAATGCATTTTATATATGTTTATGTCCACAGCGTATTTCTCTTTTGAAAACCATGAGGTCATATTCCCAATTGAGATCAGACGTTTGTCAGTTCCTGTTTTGTTTGACCCAGGGAAAGGTGAGCTTTAACTTATTGTTGTTTTAATAGGATTTTATTGTTTGTTGTTTTAATAGGATTTTATATACTTCAGTGGGATTTATTGTTTTTAATTAATGTGCTTTTTATCCATTTTATCAGAGTTAGTTTTTTTTATATATATTTACATTTTGCTTGATGTTTTAGGTTTAGTACTTTTAGAACTTTTTGATTTAATCTGTCAGATTCCTAGCTGCCTTTCTAGTTATTGTTTCCTTTTTATTTAATATGCACACTCGATTTTATTCAGTCCAAATTATTTATATATTTTTAAATACTTTGTTTAATTTCTGTGAATGAAAAAATCAAGAAAGCCTTATATTTTGATTTATTCATTAAATATATAGTTGAAATCTGAATTATTAGCCCCCTGTTTATTTTTTTCCCCAATTTCTGTTTTACAGTGAGAAGATTTTCTAAGCATATTTCTAATCATGATAGTTTTATTAGCTCATCTCTAATAACTGATTTATTTTATCTTTGCCATGATGATAGTACATAACATTTTACCAGAAAATTTTCAAGACACTTCTATACAGCTTAAAGTGACATTTAAAGGCTTAATTGGGAGGTTAGTTAGGTTAACTAGGCAGGTTAGGGTAATTAGGCAAGTTATTGTTTAACGAGGGTTTGTTCTGTAGACTATCGAAAAATATATGGCTTAAAGTGGCTAATAATATTGACCTTAAAATGGTGTTTAAAAAATTGAAAACTGCTTTTATTCTAGCCGAAATAAAACCATTTACACTTTCTCCAGAAGAAAAAAGATTATCAGAAATGCTGTGAAAATTTCCTTGCTCTGTTAAACATCATTTGGAAAACATTTAAAAAAGGAAAAAAAATTCAAAGGGGGGCTAATAATTCTGACTTCAACTGTATGTAAAATCTAAATGTGTGTGTGTGTGTGTGTGTGTGTGTGTGTGTGTATATTTCTGAAAGTATATGATTTGGTTTTTCATATACTGTTTTAGTTGTGTTTATGTTTCGTATTGGGTAGCCTCTAGCTAGAGTGCATATCCATCGAATGAAACAGCCAAACACAGTTTAATACGTTGACATTCGCTACAATGTAAATTGGATAGATCTTTTGAAGTGGTTATGTGGTTGTCCCACCCCTACACACACACACACACACATGTATCATCAGATATGTGCCCCACTCACACATCAGAGCAGGCTGACACAGTGTTGCCAACTATTTCCAATGAAAAGTAGCTAAAGTCTGCCTGAAAAGTAGCTAAATGTTGCCAGATTATTATTTATTACTGAGTTATTTACTCTACTGAGTGAAGCCTGCAGCCACTGCTCTTTTGAGTCACTTTTTAAAAATTGCTAAAAGTGGCCAAATGTATGTTAAAAATTTCTAAATTTGTTGCTAGGTGCTTTTTGAAAAAAAAAAAAAATTGCTTGGGTAGTACAAAAAGTTGCTAAGTTGGCAACACTGTGCTGACAGAGATCTCAATTATATATATTTAATATATACAAAAATAAACAAACCCAATATTGGATTATTTTTTTAATGACACTTTTTTTTACCCAACAGTTGGGTTTGTCCATAATTTGTATATTAATCTATTTTATTTCATTTTTTTTTTCAAATAATGAAAATTATTTATATTTTTTAAACACTTTTAGATAACTGTAAATGAAAAAAGTCAAGAAAGCCTTTTATAATAGGTTGATAATTGGGACCAAAATGATGTGGGAAAGCCCTAACGCCAGAATAAAAGCTCAGAATTGCTAAATAAAAGTAAAAAATGATTGTAAGCGCAGAGATTCTTCTGTTTTTTTCACAGCAAAACACAAGTATTGGATCAAATAATTTTATAAGTTTTGAGAAACGTAATTTTAGGCAGCAGATATATAGTAAATGACCCTGTATAATTCTACAGGGACTGGATTTTAGTCTTTGTATTACGAACATAATCGTCATTTTGATCCCATAATAATGTCTCCTTCTCTCCTTAGATGTGAACTCACAGGTGACCGTGCTAATTAAAACGTTTTTGAGATATAAAGAGCTGAATGTCCTCATACAGAGCATCCGCTCGCACTATCCCAAAATCAAGATCATTGTTGCTGATGACAGTCTGGAACCAGAGAAGGTGAAGGGTGAAAATATCGAGCATTATATAATGCCACCGGCACAGGTACTGTTAACATGAGGCTTTTAAAATCTGATGTTGCCTTAGAACAGGTTTTCATCGGTTAAACGTGTTTTTCAGGGTTGGTTTGCAGGCAGAAATCTGGCACTATCGCAGGTCACCACAAAATACTTCCTGTGGGTGGACGATGACTTTGTGTTTCTAGAAAACACAAACATCGAGAGCTTTGTGAAGATTATGGAAGCCAATCCTGAACTAGACGTGGTATTTATGTCAACTTGATCATTTTGATGAACTAATATAAATGTTGTTTTGTACAATATGGCTGAAGTTTTTTTATATGTATTATTTTTGTATTATTTTTATTATTGTATTATTTCTCTAATATCATTGCATAATTTTAACTGATTATATCTGAATATACAAAAAAAGTTCTGCTTATTTTAAGTCTTTTGTATTTTGATTTATGTATATAAATATATCATCATACCCCTTCAAAAAAATCATCATAGCCCTTTGAAATAATCACTTTATTCGCTATACACTCTGAAATCAAATCAAATTTCATATAACATTTCCAACCCTTGAAAAGTTTTAGTAACCTTTCTTCTAACTTTTGCCTTTCTACAACTTTATCCCGAACGCCTTCAAAAAGCAGTGTGTAATGTTAGTAAAAGCATATAATTTCATGGGGTATGATGATTTTCTATAGGCAGTGTATATGTGTGTTTGTTAATGAAAGTATATGATTTATGTACGTGGTTTTTCATTTACGGTTTTAGTTACGTGTTGATTCTTTTGATTTTTTTTGGGTAGTCACAAGCTAGAACGCAAATCCATAGAATGAAACCAACACTTGTAGATTATATACAGTTGAAGTCAGAATTATTAGCCGTCCTTTTGATTTTTTTTTTACCTTTTTGAATATTTCCTAAACGATGTTTAACAGAGCAAGGAAATTTTCACAGTATGTCTGATAATCTTTTTTCTTCTGGAGAAAGTCTTATTTGTTTTATTTCAGCTAGAAGAAAAGCAGCGTTTAATTTTTTAAACACCATTTTAGGGACAAAATTATTAGCCCCTTTAAGCAATTTTTTTTTTTCAATAGTCTACAGAACAAACCATCGTTATATAATAACTTGCCTAATTACCCTAACCTGCCTAGTTAACATAATTAACCTAGTTAAGCCTTTAAATGTCACTTTAAGCTGTATAGAAGTGTCTTGAAAAATATCTAGTAAAATATTATTTACTGTCATCATGGCAAAGATAAAATAAATCAGTTAATAGAAATGAGTTATTAAAACTATTATGTTTAGAAATGTGTTGAAAAAATCTCTCTGTTAAACAGAAATTGGGGAAAAAATTAAACATGGGCGAATAATTCAGGGGGGCTAATAATTGTGACTTCAACTGTAGGTTTTTTGCAGTTGTTATGTGTTTGTCCAACACAATCTCATGGCAATTCGTAACTTTTTCATTTAGTGGCTAATTCGTATGATCTAATTCGTACATTTTAGTATGATTTGCTCATTCTCAAACGATGATTGGGTTTAGGGGTGGGGTTAGGTGCCATGCCTCCTTTTTAAAATCGTACAATTTTGTACGACTGAACACGTACGAATTCGTACGAATAAGCCACTAAACTGGCAAAACATAAAATACGTTTTTTTCTCGTGAGATCAGGCTGGATTGTCCCACCCCTACACACCCACATTATCGGTTATGTGCTCTACTTACACACACCAGAGCAGGCCGACAGAAAACTCAATTAATATATAACACTGCATTTTATTGTCAGTAATGGTAATAGCGTTGTAACGGGGGAAACAGTAATTTATTTGATTACTCGTTACTGAAAAAAGTAATTCCGTTAGTAGCATTGTTCATTATTATTGCTGTTATTCATATAATTGATCTTAAGTATCATGAGGCAAGCATGTGATGAATCAATGGTCGAGAACGGTACTGTTAAATTTATTTTAACCTGAACCATTGCACCTCTAATCTACACCAGGGTTGCACGATACTGGAATTCGGTACCAATTGATACTGAAATATTAAAAGCGTCAATTTCCCATTAACATTTGAGCGCTGTTAAGTGTTCTTAAACTGCGCTGATTTGCCATTGTGTTTACATCCTCAACAGAAATGACTGTGATTGGCCATAAAGGTCATCAGTTCACCAAACTCACCGCTGTTTCCTGAGTGTAACCTCAGATACAGGGACACTGGAGCGTTTTAAAGTCACGATTCATCAGCGGATCGCTCGAATGTCAGCTTATAGACAAATCAGCTGATCGACGTGTTTTTAAAATGCTCCAGTGTCCGTGTATCTGTGGTTACACTCGGTAAACAGCGGGGACTTCGGTGAACTGATGATCTTATCAGCCAGACTTGGGCTGCGCCCGAAACTGCATACTTCTATACTATATAGTACACTAAAATCAGTATGTGAGCCGAGTAGTATGTCCGAATTCATAGAATTCGAAAAACAGTATGCGAGAAGTACCCGGATGACTTACTACTTCCAGCAAGATTCTGGAGTGTGCATCCCATGCATGCTGCGCTATCCCATGATGCCCCGCGAGCGAATTAATGAATGGGAGTAAAGCGACACAAATTACGCAGGTGTCACGTCACGTGACTTTGTCAAAATGTTTAAAAATTCCATTCATACTTTTCACATTTATACTGTATAGAACGTACTTTTCTGACGGCCGAGTAGTACGTTTAAATTCAAATGCAGTACTTACTGAGTAGTAGGCGGTTTCGGACGCAGTCATTTCTGTTGAGCACGTGAACACAATGGCAAATTAACGGTGTTTAAGAACATTCACAGCAGCCCTCAAAAGTTAGTGGGAAATGGTCATTTTTTAAATCTTACAACCGATTGGTACCATATGTTAGTATCGTGACAACACTATATTGTACACAAATAACACGACACATGAGAAGTCATGAACCTTTCTCAGCACATGAACACATTTAAACACACACCAAGCCAGTTCATAATGCAAAATGCAATTTTTGAAATGTACGTACGTGTATTGAACAACGGAAGTCGTATTAAACGGGTCAATTTTAAATCGAGCAGCCTATGGCTTTCAAAATCAGGTGCATGAGAAAAACACAGATAATAAACTAATATATTTCCTATAATAATACTTGGTTGGTTTTATGGTTGACAGCAGCACTAATTAAAAGGATTTTCCACCCAAAAATACAATTTCATATTAATTTACTCACCTTAAGGTGATTTTGTTGAGCATGGAGGAATGTTTTTAGCTGAAACTGTTGTCCTTGTTGATTCATTAAATGCAACAACAACCAACACTTTAAAGGTCCAGTGGAATTAAAATGATGTTTTTTAGATTTTAGTAACTGTATAATAGTCTTCTAGGATATTTATAACCTAGTGTTCTCCAAAACAATGACAAAATTTGTGTTTAGAAGATATGAAACAGATATAAAGATGTAGGGCTCTATTTTGACGGTCCATGCGCAGAGCGCAAAACGCAGGGCGCAAACGCTTTCAGGGCGTGTCAGAATGCATTTTTGCTAATTTACGGATGGGAAATGCGCTTTGCGCCAAGGCATCTACTGCGTGAGAATGAGAGATAATAGAACTACTTTCACATTCGCTCTTGGATAGGGAAACCTTTACGCACAGACATCAATTAGCCTATAAATAATTAATTTCATTTGTTAAGCGCAAAGATTTGTTTCAAAAATATTTCTAAATTCAGTTCTAATTTCTAGCAAACGAATAAATGAACAATAATGACCAAGTGTGGTCAAAATACTGAGTTATTTCCAAATACACCTGCTATGCCCCATATGGTCTAAAACCTGACAGGTGGGCAAATCTAAGCTTGTTTTTAATAAAACAAATATAAATATGGATATAATAAATAATACTGCTAATAATAATAACATTATACAAAAGCAAATTGTTATGAATGAACTGAAAAAGCCTCCCGAGATGAAGAAGACATAAAAGCAGTGATTTTTCATATTTATGTAGGCTAGAAAATAATATGTTTTGTAATATTTTAATCCTTTATATTTATATTCTATATCTATTCTTATTATATCCTATATATATCCTTAATATTTAAATGTTTTCATATGTAAAGATATTTGCCTATTGCTCTCTTGTGTGTATTAAGCAGTGTGTAAGCGAGGCGCAACTCTGCGCTGGAGTTTAGACCGGGTTAGTTTTGGTCTAATGAAAAATCTATTATAGTTTCTCAAAATAGCAACGCGCCAGCGGTCCGCCTCAGAACGCCTTCCTTTTTAGACCAGAACGCCTATGGGCGCACAAATGAGCGCTAATGCATTTGCTATTTAAACAGCGTAGCGCAACGCCTCAAAACGACTCTTGCGCCAAGCTGAAACTACCAAAAGACTATTGCGCCGCGTCTTGCGCCACACTGCGCCGGGTGTATGATAGGGCCCGTAAAGCGAATAGTTTGTCACTTCCACCTAAATGCATCAACTTTTCATTTGATGTGCTTGACAGAGCTTGGCAGAGCTATGATTAAAACAACACGCTGTTGTCTGCTTTTTAAAAAATTATGTCAAACATTGAATCAAAAGTGCACATTTCAAAGCACTTTACGGGACCTTTAAGAGTCAAAATAAAAAAAATACACACACAGAGGTCTTAAATTGCAAGAAAAAAGTGCTAGTCAGTGCTAGAAAATTAGCATTATTACCTTACCTCTCATTTTTATAATCAATAAAGTATTAGCTACTACAGTCTTTTTAAGCCACATTTCGATGATGATTGGTGTGTGTGTAGGGGTGGGACAACCACATAATGACTTTTTCAAAGTAACATGCCCAACACTGCAAAAGACTTCTCTAATCAACATTATAGCAAATGACAACAATGTTGAACTGTAGATATATTGAAGTGAAGCCTTGACTGGATTTTTCGCTTCTTTGCAGATTTTGAATCGTTCATTAGCATTTGTTGTCCCTCAGGTTGGTGGTCAAGTAGAATCGAACCAGTTTTCCTTCAGGCTGGAGTATGAGGAGGGCAGCAGCGATGAAGGCGGTTGTATCACACGTGTAATGCAGACCAGGGCACCTCTGCCAGGGTTTGACGGCTGCTTTTTCGTAGACGGAGTCGTCAACTATTTCATGGGTCGAACGGAGGCTGTGCGGAAGGTCGGATTTGACCCATTCCTCAAAAGAGTGGCTCACACCGGTAAGTGTTGACAGATCACGACTTAAGCATTTACAAGAGGTCAAACAATGGCTTTCTACTTATCACATTCTGGGGGAAGTACAGTAGGGGAAATAAATATTGAGCACGTCACCATTTTGAAGACATATTGCTAAAGGTGCTGTTGACTTGATATTTTCACCAGACGTTTATAACAACTAAAGAAATCCATATATATGCAAAGAAAACAAAAGTAATTAGTTTACAAATGAAGCTATGTGTAATAAAATGAAATGATACATGGAAAAAGTATTGAACACATGAAGAAAGGAAGGTGTATTTAGGCAGTGAACGCCCAGACAGCAGCTGAAATCTCTCAGTAGTTCTTCAGTCCTCTGCCCTTCCTCAGTGTAATGGCTCGTTTCCACTGACTGGTACAGTACGGTACGGTTCGGGTCGGTACAGGTCACCTTTATCAGCCTTGCGTTTCCAATACCAAGGGCACCCTTTTGTGTTCAGTCGACGTCATTTTCGCTCGAGAAAATGTCTACAATAAAGCTGCACAGGTCGCTCACATATCATATGAAAAGCACTCAAAACAGATGCTTTACACACATAAATACTTGTGTATAAATGTTTATTACTAACTTTTCTATAAACAGGAGTTGATTATAACTGCAGATCAATGACGGTGTGAAATAGCCTACTGTAACGTCTGTAATTATATTAAATAAATAAATAAATGAACATGTATGAACACATACAGACACTTACAGTCTCCGATATGTTACCAACTACAGAAGAACTACAAAAAGCAGACATTTTGTTGTTAATTAGGTTCAAAACAACACAAAGTATAGCCTACAGTCAGTGAAAACCTCTCATCTGTGTCTGTAATCTTCAGCAGCACATGAAGCCTCTGTTAGAGAGTCATTCGATCATTCCCAGTTCATATTAGTCCAAAAGGTGATGATAAAGATTAAAACAGGGCAGTTTGTTCACGTTTGCTGAAGAAATAACGTGCTCCTTGGCTTCGCCTTTTTTCCAGCGCTCCACTCCCGTGTTTGTCCTTTTCTTTCTGAAAGTGTCACTCGCGTTTGTCAGCTTCTCACAGGATCGGTTTCCAAAGCTTGTCAATAATCAAGTGCATGTTATTATTATCAGCTCAAGAAGTTTGTTATTTCAGATAGAGATGCGCGGCGAGAGCAAGGAAGAAAGCGAAACCACTCGGGCTTCAGACTGGCTCGTTAAAAACTACGCGGCACAGGGTGAATCTGCTCTTCTCCATGGCTTTGTGGCTGTTTATCATGACGACGACAGGGTTTGTTTGCGGGATCGACCATGGCTGCATATGTATTTATAATTCCGCTGTAATCTCTCGCTGTGTATTTCAAACATGGTGGGTTCTTTGTTTACATTCTGGCTTGTTGAGTCTACGAATGACGTATCTCTGTAAACCAATAGCGTTCAGCTGCGCGTGTAGCTCCACCTTTTGGGACCCTTTTTTGCAGTTTGGGACCCTTTCGAAAGGGTCCCGAAAAAGTGGTACGGTTCGGTTTGGTTCTGTACGCCTTTTGACAGTGGAAACGGCCATAAAAGCGTACCAAACCGAACCGTACCGTACCACTCAGTGGAAACGGGCCATAAAAGAATATCAGCTGCTTCAGGCCAACATGTACATTATCAGGAGGATGAAGATGAAACCAGGGTGGAAATTTCAGCAAGACGTTGATCCAAAACACAGCCAAGGAAACTCTCAAATGCTTTCAGAGAAAGAAAATCAAGCTGTAGAATGGCCCAGCCAATCACCTGACTCTAATCCAATAGATGATAGAAATTAAAGATCAGATTTGATAGAGGAGGCCCACAGAACCATCAAGATTTTTCACACTCTGTTGAAAAACTCACACCTAAGCAATGCATGTGACTTAACTCTTTATATGACAGGTGTCTCTAAGCTGCCAGTACCAAAAAAGACTTTTATATAAAGTATTAAATACATTTCAGAAGTCATTTCATTGTTATTACAGATTATTTTCATGTATGTATTGTTTGGGTTTATACCAAAATCTGGTTCAATTCCATGTCAACATCTCCTTTAGAAAAATGATTCCCAGGAAAAAAAACATGACATGTTCAAAACTTATTTCCCCCACTGTATGTGCACAGAACAAGCAATCACAATTTATTGATCAGCTTTATAACTACGTAACTGACCGGTTACTGGAGCCAATTCATACTTTTATGGTGAATAATTAATAGACTTCCCAGCTGAAATAGCTATTTTTTTTCCCAACCATGTACAGAATTCTTCATTGACGCACTTGGGGATTTATTGGTCGTCACCTGCAAAGATCTCAAGATCGGACACCAAAAACACAGTAACACGAACAAATACTCCTCCTACAGGCATCCCTCAAAAAGTGACTCGAATGCAAAAATGACCCACCATTTCTTCAAGAATCATCTAAAATGCATCAAATACTAAGGCGGCGTTCTTCAAAGTTAACGAAATACCTTGTTTTTTTGGTATGTTTTAAAAGACTATTCGAAACGTTAACAGGTAAGCTGACTGCTTTGACTTCAATATGTTGAATGTTGCAATTTTGGTTGTATCTACTGAGTAATCTGATTACTAAAGCTGTTGAAGATCATGGGTAATGGGTGAGTGAAAATGTAAAGGGTTTTGTTTATTTCTCTTTAATTTAAATGTTATTTATATGGGTTCTTCGCTAAGTGGAGCAAAAACATTTAATTATGTGCAAATGTAATTATGTGGTTGTTAAAGTAGAGAATGAGGTGAGGTTGAAATGAGGGCTGTTGAAATAAGTTTACAAACCTTCTGGGTTTAAAAAAACATTTGCTGTCATACGATTCTCAGGTGCTGCATGCATATAATGCAGAAACTCGACTGGTTAAACCAGTTATTAAATGTATGACCTGTTGCCCACTTTGCTGCTTTTTTTTAACTGCTTTATATAAATCATTTATAAAAGTATAAACCACCAGCAGAAAAGTAAAAAAAAACAAAACTGTTAAACGGAAACATTTATCAAAACAAAGAAAGGATAAAAGAAGAAACTGCATTTAGGTTTACATGCTTTATTTATAAGGATCGCCAGTCTTTCACAAACAGTCCTTTGCAACCAAGGCTCATTTTGAAAACGTACCCCTATATACATTTCTCGAGAGCGCCAAATACAGCCGAGGATCTACTTTTTTTGGGGAGTTTTTGTTTTCCCAAATCCACCAAAGGCCGCTGTGTATGCTTTTTAAGATCTCAAATTTCTCTCGCGAGTGCCATTTGCGCCTGCTTTTCTTGTGGAAATCCACCAGAAGTCGCTGTAGATTGTTTCACTGCCTGACGCACCCTCCTCCTTCCCTAAACCCAACCAATAATGTTTTCAAAAGCACCAATTGACCTGTCCACCCTATTCCCTAAACCCAACCAACAGTTTTCAAAAGATATCCAGAAAAAGCCCTCGCCTGATTTTTACCATGTTTTCAGCTTTTACCACATTCTCACCCTGTGATTTATTTGTTTATTTTATTGTTTGGACTCTGTTTTTCTCTGCTTTCTGGAAGCGTTCTTCACCAGACTTGAATCCCGTCATCGTGGTTAACTCCTTTCTGTGTCTCAAGTTCTGGACAAATGTAACGACGGGAAAGCTGTCCACATGGAGGAAAGCGGTCGGAAGGAAGGAACGCCGTCATTCCGCCCTGTGGCATACGTTTTAAAGACGAAATGCAGCCATGCACACCTCTGGCTACATAATTTATAATCTCCAGAAATGTCTATAACGCCATGTTTTCAGAATGAGCCTTTGTTGGTTCTTTGTTTTGCTCTTCACTGGTTTTGCATTGTTGCCACATTTATTTATTATTTTTTTGTTATGCCAATAAAGAGTTCGTGCTTTGTTGTCAGTTTTTTGAGAAAATAAAGATTTGTTTTTTTTTGTATTCAATGGCAAATGATTTAGCACCGGCAATGTGAATATATGTCACTTGTAGAGTCAAACCGATCTGCTTCTCCTTTATTTTAACAATTTAATTTGACCGTTTATTCTTTTCTTGTTCACAATCACAGATATTTTAAGTGAGAGTTTTCGAACTTGTCAGAGTTTTTTTTTTTACGTCTGAGAGATTACTGCAAAGTCACTACACATCTTTTTAGCTAATGATTGATTATAAGCTCATAAGATCCTTGAGCCTGGGGCTCCCTCCTGTTTGCAGGGTGATGGGGAGTTTGAGCTCAGGTAGATATTAGAACTCCCCTGCTGTAGTAGCTAATGAACAGATAGCGATTGCTCTTAAGAGATAACTGTTTACTAGGTGCATGTCTATTGTGCTGATTTGGATCAGTTGATTAACTTAAGTTGCATGTTTTTGAACGGTGGGTGGAAACCGGGGAACCCGGGGGGAAACCCATGTGAGCACGGGGAGAATGTGCACAGAAACGTATGAGTGATGTTCTTGCTGTGAGGCAACAGAGCTAATCACAGGGCCACCGTGCCACCCATCTAAGGAGGAGGAGTAAGGGTGGAAGGGGGCATTCTTCAATACGAAGAGGGCTGTTATATGGAACTTGGGGTATTTATATTGGCTTAGGAATCGTCTGATTGGTGAATCATGAATTGAATAGCGCGGGACCAGCTGCTAACAATCATAAGCACATGATCCTCTCGAATGTTTATAAATAAACTGCACTTCGCAAAAAAAGCTATTTAGGTCCATTTTGTGACATATAGGAGAAAGGTATGCAGTGTTGCGACTTTATCGATAGATTTAGCGACTTTTCAGACCCCCCTAGCGATAAATTTAAAAAAAAGCTTTGACCAGCGACAAATCTTGTGACTTTTTTTGTGTGTCACTGGAGATTTTTATAGACTGTCATTTGTCCGTACTGTACCGTCCCTATTCTTGTCAACGAGCTGCAGGTGATGCCTCCGGCCCCTCCCCCACCTCAGAGCACTGACAGGTGGCCCAGTCCTCGTACAGCAGCCTCTCCCACCTACAGCCTGACAGCAGATCACCTCTCTGCGTACCGACGGCAAATGATTTAGCACCGGCATTGTGAAGATATTTCAGTCAAACCGATTTGCTTCTCCTTTATTTTAACAATTTAATTTGACCGTTTATTTTTTTCTTGTTCACAATCACAGATATTTTAAGTGAGAGTTTTCGAACTTGTCAGAGTTTTTTTTTTTTTACGTCTGAGAGATTACTGCAATTTCACTAACGTTACACATGTATAATGATATAATGTATTCAAACAGCAATAAATTTAGTTAAACTGACATGCTAACATAAAGTGTAGCGCAAATATAAATCCCCTTTATTGACCAGAGGCTGTTAAACACAAAAAAGGGTCAAATGTGATGACATCAGTAATATGCCAATTAACGTATGATGTCATCTAGTGACTTTAGCGACTTTTCGGGCAGAGCTTAATGCTTTTTCATTGAAAATAGTTGGCAACAGCGAAGGTATGCCACTTATCATCGCTCCTCATCATGTCCTGGTCATATGGAATTTTCAGAATTCAATTTTTAGATTCCAAGGGCTCAGTGGTTAGCACTGTTGCCTCACAGCAAGAAGGTTACTAGTTTCTAGTTCCGGTTGGGTCAGTTGGCATTTCTGTGTGGAGTTTGCATGTTCTCCAACAGTCCAAGCACATGCCCTATAGGTGAATTAGATTAACTAAAATTGGCCGTAGTATATGCGTATGTGTGAACCGATCCTGAGAGAGTATATGGGTGTTTCCCAGTATTGGGTTGCAGCTGGAAGGGCAGCCGCTGCGTAAAACATATGCTGGAAGAGTTGGTAGTTCATTCCGCTGTGGTGAGCCCTGATGAATAGGGACTAACCTGAAAGAAAATGAATGAATGAATGATTACTATTTTTTTTCTTAATGACATGCACAGATGAATTGTTTACCGCAAAACTAACAACAAGAGCTAACAAAATCAATATGGTTAGTTTTGATTTCATGTGTACTTTAAGTTTTCACGATATTGTTATTGGTTTACTGGATTTATTGTTTGGATTTATATACCGGTTTGGATTTATCGGAGGCAGTTCTGTTGGCAACCAAGCAAGTCTTTCTTGAGTAATTTGCATCAAAACAATTTGCATATAACATCTAGCCTCATTTCCCTCAAACTAAATATTTTAACCCTTTAAGGTGTGCAGGGTTGAAAGAAAAGGTTGTTGGCATACATCTTGCATTGAATAATATACTGACACAACAACTGATGAATAGAAATAAGCTATTAAAATATTAATGATAGCCTGTGCATTAAAGGTCGACCAGGTGGTTATGATGCCTGTTAAAGGGATTCATGATAGACAAAATGCACGAACAGACAAAAGAAAATGAAGTTTCACAGTGGTATGCTTTCCCACCTGAAACCCGACAGCACGTGCCTTATCTATTGTAGAACAGGTTTGAGTGGTTTTGACTGGACACGAGTAGCTTCAGGCAAAACTTGAGGCATTGATCTCAAACAAACAAACTTGAAAAGTGCCATTATTACAGCCCTGAATTCATAGAATAGTGGATAAAAATAAGTGAAGTTTATTTATAAACAAATTTCGAGAGGATCACGTGCTTATGATTGTTCACAGCTGTTCCAACTTTAGCTAATGACTATTTATCCTATCAGACGATCCTTAACTCGTTATAAATAACCAGACTTTTCTCATCTCGATATCTTCGTCTTGAAGAAACCCCCCCACCCAACCCTACTTGCCCCTGGTTTAATTCCCTTCCAAACCAGACGACATTTCTGTGCGGATTTTGCTCGTTCTCCTCGTGCTCGCGTGGGTTTTCCCCGGGTCCTCCGGTTTCCTCCCGCAGTTAAAAAAACAAGCACCCTAAACAATCAACCCAAAATATTTTAGCCAAGCTCTGAGTTCACCTTCTCAGCATCCATATCTGACACTTAGCTACAATAAGCAGGAGGGGGAGTCATCGAGATCTACCTGAGCTCAAACTCCCCTCTCGCCCTGCAACGGGAGGGAGCCCAGCACTCGAGGATCTTATAAGAGCTCTTATAGGACTCTCTCCTGGGGCAGCACGCCAAACAAGCTTTATTATCAATTATCAGCTAAGTGTGAACTCTTGAAACTGTATTTAAGATAGACGTAGGAGGGAAAAGCTAACCTTATTAGCCAGAAGTGTTACTGAATAAAACATAACAATCAAAAATATTAATGTAGTGCGTAACAGTAAGATCACCCAGATACCATAATATTAATAATAATGATTAATAATTAATAATAATAATGCACAATATTATTGTCAAGTCACTTTTTTAAGGTAATTAAATTAATGATTTGACTTTTTTCCCTTCACATTAGGGCGAACCATGCATTACATCTTGAGCTTGTGCGTATGCTCCTTTGTGTAGCATCATATCTAACCAGTAACTGCTTATTTCTGTTGTTAATATTTGTGTGGTGTGGAAAATCATCACTTATTTCTATTCGTGTTTATGTTAAAAATAGCTAAAAAGGTCATGAGCAGAATGTTTGTTCAGCGATACCTAAAATGAAAAGCTGTTAAATTCACAAGGAGATCAGGTTTCATTCACAATGGTGCTGTTAAAGCTCTTTTGTTCCTCTCAGGTGTCACCAGACACAGCCCCATGCAAATTTCCATGCAAAAGTCATGTGTTTTTCACTAGTTGTTTCTTTTGAAATCTTATAGTTGTAATGCTTTTATCATTTTTTTTTAGTGTTCAGTCACCCAGTTCAGTCAGTCCAGTTTTCAGTAGCGCTGACATGGAAGTAGAAGGTATATCCCTATTTGTTTTTCCTCATATGGGTTTAACAAAAGGCCTTTGTTAAAGTGTTATAAGCCACTAACCAAACCAAGCATCCACAAGCTGTTTATAGAGCATAAGTAAACTGACTTGAGCATGTGATTTGTGTCGGTTCGTAGGAGTGGATGGAGCTAAAGATCTTCTTTAGGACACTTATCTGCACAGCATCATGGGTAATGAATTCATGTGAACAATCTGGCTAATTTTGTGTGCGTGACAGGTTGGTCTAGCCTTCGTTTCATCAAACACCTCAGAAAGAAATTATGTTTTCGAAGAGGGAGTGGAAGTTATTTGATTAAAGATTAGATCACTTGGAATTTAAAATCTCTCTCTGTGTATATATTTATATATATATATAAGGGGTGGATCGTGGATAAAAGCAGAGGACGCGGGACCCGACCAGATTTCTTGCGGGAATACATTTCCGAATAAAGAGCAGGAATAAAGCTCTGTTGTAAATTAATCGCGAGCGGGGGGTCTAACAATATCCCTCCCGACTCCTCAGTGAGCAAACACGCATATGTATGTGTGTGAATGAGAGAGCGTGATGCTTTGTTTTTAGCTTATTTGTTGGTGTCTATGTGTGTGTGTGTGTGTGTGTGTGAATGAGAGAGAGAGAGCTTTGTGCTGTCTACATGCGTGACTGAGAGAGAGCTTCGTGCTGTCTATGTGTGTGTGTTTATACAGACAGCTTGTTGTTGTTGGGTGGTTTTTGGTTTTGTCCCCTCTTCCCCCCACCCCCGTCCTAAGCGGGAATGGGCGGGTCGGGTGGAAAATGGGGTGGGTCGGGAAGCGGGACAACAAATGCTGAAAATAGGCGGGAGCCGTCGGGTTCGGACTAAAACCTGGCGGGAGCAGGATTCAAAATTTATCCCACGCAGATCTCTAGATGAAAGTGAAGAGCAGGAGGATGGGGCAGGGTGGGGGGTGGTGGTTGCGGGAGAGCGGATGAAAGAAAAGACGGGGGGGGTTGTCCGGGCCCTTGATAATGTCTCTTGGGGCCCCCTTAATGTATGGGCCCTTAGAATCGTCCTAACTTTCCCCCTTTTAGCAGCGCCCCTGCCCATTAGTACCAGCTGACCAGCGTGTCAACACCACAGCCTACCTGAGTATTGCTGCTGACCATGTCCATCC